GGCTGTCTTCAATAAATGGGATCACTTATAAAGTTGGAAATTCTTTAGCCTTTTGGTAGACCAGATATATCTGTTACTTAAGGATCTTCTGAGTCAGCAGCCACTAGGGGATATAGTAGTTATTTAATAAAGCCCATGTATGCCCATTCCAGCCTCTAATAGGTTTGCCCATACTGCAGAAAACAAGGAAACATCACTTCATTTTAATTCTACGAGTAAAACAGCCTGAGAAACCGTATGCAGCAGAATCAAAGCACTTATTCCTCCTCACAAGCCAGCTCGACAGGATGATTTATTTTGCTAGACTTCCAGGCAGGAGAAATTGCTAGCATTTTTCCCATCAGTGCTCACCACTCACCCAACACTGCTTAGTTAAAATGTTTCTGTTAAGTAATATTAATAATAGTAGGAACATCTTCATTTAAGACTAAAAACCGAAACAGAAAAGCAAGTGAGCGTGGCACCTTTCTCTGGTGTGCAAAGAAAGTCACAAGACAGGGGAAATGATGGGGGAGCCCCTTTTGAGTCATGCCAGGCTGGAGATGAGGCTTTAGGACTGCCATGCCTTACAAATTGCAGCCTTCATGAGGAAGCCTGTTTTCCAAACGTCGCTTTCAACCGACACATTTTCAGCTTAACATTTGTCAAACCTCTTCTTTTGTTAAGAGTTAACGTGTCAGTTTTTAAAATGGCTTGCGGTTTCTATCCACCTTCCTTGATGGAAATGTGCAAAGTGCGAGTTACTCCCTTTCACAAAGCATCTTGTCAAGGATCCTGACTCCAATCCGACTTCTCCCGGGGACAAAAAAAAAAAAAATCTGCCTTCTGGAAACTTAACAAGCGGTGACTATCCCATCATAATTCTGCCTAGAAGAAGTTACTCAACAACAGCCCGAAAACGCTAACGCACCTGTAGGGGTTGATCCTCAACACCAGACGGAGCAAATTATTATTATTACTTTAAATTAATTTATTTACTTATTTATTTTTGGCTGCATGGGCTCTTCGTTTCTGTGCGAGGGCTTTCTCCGGTTGCGGCGAGCAGGGGCCACTGTTCATCGCGGTGCGCGGGCTTCTCACTATCGCAGCGTCTCTTGTTGCGGAGCACAGGCTCCAGACGCGCAGGCTCAGTGGCCATGGCTCACGGGCCCAGTTGCTCCGCGGCATGTGGGATCTTCCCAGACCAGGGCTCGAACCCGTGTCCCCTGCGTCGGCAGGCGGACTCTCAACCACTGCACCACCAGGGAAGCCCGGAGCAAATTATTTTAACAGAGGGAATAAGTGACAATGAGCGGGCAAAGCGATGACACCACCCAATATGTTCCCTTTGCTGAAAGTACCATAAATGAACAAAGAGCAACCTCCATCTGAGGAACGATGAGGATGTGATGAATGCCCCGAATGTACTCAAAAGAACAATCTCCTGAAGAATCGCACCTTGGCATCCTCCCAGCCACACCTGCCCACATCCCCTCCTGCTTCATCCTCATCAGCTTAAATCACTGCCAAGTATTTTAATTCTTCCTGAACACCGGCTTCCCTGTTTTGTTTCAAACATCCACGTCTCCTCCTGGAGTCCGTTAGAGTCTGGAAATCAGATCATCCATCTTCCCTGCCTGTCGCTGCTCGAGACTTGGAAGGCCTCTCAGGATGTGCTTAGCACAGGAAGGTCACCTTGAACTTCAGCCATGGACATGAAGGGATATAAAATGCGCTGGTGAGTTCTCAATGCTCTCATTTAGGTAATGGGTCGATTGGTTAAAAAGAAAAAAGAGGAAGGAGACTCACTGGTATTTTAAGTGCCAGAATAAAAATTTAAAATATGCTTTTATGGGCTTCCCTGGTGGCGCAGTGGTTAAGAGTCGGCCTGCCAATGCAGGGGACGTGGGTTCGAGCCCTGGTCGGGGAAGATTCCACATGCTGCGGAGCAACTAAGCCCGTGTGCCACAGCTACTGGGCCTGCACTCTAGAGCCCGTGAGCCATAACTACTGAGCCTGTGTGCCACAACTACTGAAGCCCGTGCGCCTGGAGCCCGTGCTCCACAACAAGAGAAGCCACTGCAATGAGAAGCCCACGCACAGCAACGAAGACCCATCGCAGCCAAAAATAAACAAATAAATAAATATCTAAAAACTAACTAAATAAAAATATGCTTCTATGACAGGCTAAAGATCAATATTAAAAAAAGGATTTTTTCATTGTTAGGGATGTATGTGACTTATATAAAAAGAAACAAGGAAGTGAAGATTAGAAACCACAGGTTTCAGAATAAAGGATCTAAGACTAAGGTACTGATTGAGACATTGGCCTTGTTTAAAAAAATACAGGTGTAACGAATAAATTGCCTCCTTGCAAGTCCTCACATGTACAGCTTTACAAAAGTAGCCAAATATCTGCTAATTAGAGGGTTTTATTCAGAGAGTTGAGAAGGATACTAAAAGTCCTCTAATTATGAAGGGGCTGCTTAAAAAAATGAAAGAATTAAGTTGGGTTCTAGTTACGTGAGGATATACTAACATATACCTATTCATGTAAAAGAGGACCTTAAATTTAAAACGTCAGTGAAACATACTGGTGGCATTTTTGTACAAGCATCTTTCTAAAAGGCGAAGAGCTTGAGGCAGTGTCTTACTTAGTTCACAGTCCATGTTTCTGGCTGGTATGTTTGATCAAGGAATGAAGAACAGGAGGGCAGAAAGCTGGGATACAGGAAGTGGTTCACATTCTTCTCTTTCCCAAGGAGGAGAGAAGGGGAAAACTCTAAGGGAATTCACTTTAAGGAGGTCCCTGCCCCCAGGAGTTTAATGTCAAGTGCATTCTCCCAGCAGAGGCTCACACAGACTCTTCTAAAAGCAGCGAACAGAGTACTGATTGGTCCCCCTAGAAAGGGGACAATGGCTCTCCCATGCTTGTTTAAGCTTTCTAATGTTGATTTAACTGGACAAAAGATAATTCTCCACGAGGAAAACAAACACATAAAAAATAAGCTAATAGGTAAACCGCTTACTCTGATCCTTAAATATAAGATGCTAATAAGATAGACAAGAATATATACATCAAATATGTCACAGATTAAAATGTCACAGATTCCCTTTCAAATAACTTACCAATACACTCAACCAATGCAACACACCACTCACTCATCCAGAATCCCAACGATGTTCAAATAAACGGAACTAGTTTGTAACAGCATATGATGGTGATTAATAGCCTAATGACTCAAAGGTAAGACGAAATCCACACATTCACAATGTCATCTTTTCAAATGAAATTACAATTAGAAGCACTTTCATACACAATGTATTCTAATTCTCTGTAAATTCTACATTCGTGAATGGTAAATTAAAAAAACTGTTAACCAGAAAAAACAACAGAGTATTTCCCCCAATTCTAGAATAACAGGACCTTATTTATTTTTCTGTAGGTATCCTATACAATGGTGTTCTAAAACCATACCCTACAAACCAAGCCCTACGTAATCCTCCATTTACTAACGAAAAATTAGAGCCTTAACTAAAGCCAATGCTAGCAACGATTAACAATTTAAGAGAAACCGAATGAACAATAAACGGTTCATTTGCAACTATATTTTCACACATTTTTATAATTAAACAAATTTTCAAGGCTGAACTATGTTCATTCTTTTTTTAAAAAACTCTGTACCTATAATAATTGCACATATCTATGTAGTTCATAGCCTACACATCTCTCATTTTACTCTTAAGGTAAGTCTTATGACATGTGATAAATATTAAGGTATCAAAAAAAAATGTTAAGGTATCATCTTTGAAGAAATCTAAACCATGCTTTACGCTGCGTTCGCATATGAGGATACGCCATCATTTTGGCAATTTGAGTCTATTTCCCCTGAACACCATTCTTCTTTCACAGCTCATCTTCTCTGTGATTCTGTCAGATGGAAATATACCATAAGGAGTCCCAGATGTGTAACCAGGAGCATGGCATACGGGGACATGTGCTACCAGAGCCACAGCTGGCCATTCAGAGGCAAGGACTCTGCCCCGTCAGTTAAGTCTGACCTGCTGTCCCAACACAGATTCCGAGACAGCTGTGCTGAGTTTGTGGGGGGAGCGTATTTCTGATACCAAAAAACGGAAGACTCCAAACTGAATGTAACTTTTAATGATCTCCTAGGTCTTCTCTAAGAGTTGGGATATTAAATTCTCAAAAGTTGGTACCAGACACAGGAACAGATTAAACCTGACTACGAATTGTTTCAAGTCATTTGCATTTGCTTAAAACTAGCAGTGACGGGATTTTGGTGTTAGGGGTCACTGAAGCATTGAGAGAAATGCTCACTTCAATTTGGGGCTGGGGAGTGGATGAGGGAGAAATGATGACAGAAGATTAACAGTAACAACAGAGTAGGTGGGGGGTGGTAGAATTCCTTCCAACCCGGACAAACTAAGGAAGAAAGAGGTGGGAATAGTTTGGTTTTAAGGCTGGGTCCGCACAGGTGCCCTTGACCAGAGGGGAGGACTTGAGAGATTTTGATGCTACGACTTAAGCTAGCTGATTCCTCCTGCTTGTCTTCTGCCTTATCTCTTCTCTTAGAGAGATTATCATCTCACTAGAGTAAAAGTTTCTGAAGAATAGGATGATGTCTTCTTAGTATTCCCTACTGATTTTATAAATAAACCACTTAACAATTTTGTTCATAACATTTGTTATTCTTTACATTCAAAGGAGAAAAAAGTATGTTCTGATCTTCGTGTATTTGGTGAATCTCCTTAGTGCCATGCATAGTCAGCCAATTTAATACCTTAAGAGATTTCTAAACAAAATTGGTATAAATTCCCTTTGAAAATATCAATTAAAAATAATCTATAAATAACAGAGACAATTACATGTGGTTATTAATAAAATTTTAAAATGCTCTGAGCTCGGCGCCGCCAATGACAAGATCACACGATAGGTTTTTAAAAACGGCATAATTACTGTAAAACCAAACTATTTCAGAAAATCATAGTCTACTTACTATTTGTACGTCTCAGAGCGGATGTATTCAAAAACATGGGACACACCAAGCTGGAATTGGTCAGCAATGGGGGTAACCCAGGGGTTGTTCTCTGCTTTGAATATCTGCTTCTGACCAGTTAAATCCAAGTTTCCTAAAAAGAAGGAGGGGGGAAAAAAAAGGTGAAGGTCATCCAACCAACAGAAATCAAATCTAAGAAGTAATTCCTGCTCAGTAATCATAGCACAACCTTAAGCATTTTTTGAGTCATTTAATTTCTTTTAAAAAGTTTTACCAAAAGTCATCACTGATATACATGCCATGTCAGCGATTGTACACTGGCCCAAGAAATTAAGAAGGAAGGAAGGGAGGGAGGGAGGGAGGGAGGGAGGAGAGAGGGAGTAAAGATGTAAGAAGGAAGTAAACTTGGAATTCTTGCAAATGAAGCATTTGCTTCATTTTTCCAAGTATTTGCTACAGAAACGACAATGGCCCTCCAAGATCGAGAGAACCATTAATAGCAGAACCTCCCCAAATTCCATCTTGACAGTGTGCATCACCACTTGTCCAATCTGATCTAAACCTGACCCATGCGGAACCTAGAAAAACGGTACAGATGAACCGGTTTGCAGGGCAGAAATAGACAACGATGTAGAGAACAAACGTATGGACACCAAGGCGGGAAAGTGGCAGGGGTGGTGGTGGTGGTGGTGGTGGTGGTGTGATGAATTGGGAGATTGGGATTGACGTGTATACACTGATATGTATAAAATAGATAACTAATAAGAACCTGCTGTATAAAAAAATAAATAAAATTAAATTCAAAAAATAAAATAAACCTGAACCAGTCACCACCACTTTTCATCAAAGCAGGACACGAGTGAAGAAAGATAAGAATACTGCCCAAGTAGAATGATCATCGCCTCATTCGGGTACTATAAACACACCTCGGAATCAGCACTAAATGAGTCTCATCAACATGGTGAGGGTAAAAATGCACACACCTACAGCCCTTACCAGTTGACAAATTACCTGTAAAAAGCATTTCCACCTTTGATTCTCCAACAATCCCTAAGGTCAGTAATTGACATCGCTTTATAGACAAAGAAATGGAAACTTGGGGGGAAATTAAGTAATATGTCCAAGATCAGAAAATGTCAGAGTAGGGATTGGAATCTAAGGCTTCTGACTCCAAATCTATTTTTCCTACAATGCTTGGTGAAGCTATCAGGTTACATGTCAACCTAGATCAACCAAGGATGAGTTAATGAAGGCAGCCAGCATCTGGGTACCACCTGTTGATGGACGGGTCAGTCAGCTCTCTCTATGTTTTTCTGTTTGGTATATTTAAACATGGAAAAGGCAGAGTGAGAAAGAGCTTCCTAGAACCTGCTTGCCTAAGAAAGACACAGGGACAGATGTGACACAGCAGAGCCGTATGTGCTTTACTTGGCAGACTCACCGAAATCCTTTCCCTAAAAGTCCTATGGAGGAAGTCCATTTGCAGACCCCTGGTCTACAGTCCAAGGCTTTTTGAGCAAAGACACCAAGCAATTTATTCTTCCCAGGACACAACCAAAGCGCCATATCTGTCCTGTTCTCAGGCTCTACGGCCAATATTGTCATAAGTGATAACTTCAGGATAAGGAAAACATATTCTAGGATGCAAGCATCGCACAAAGCCCATCAACTTCCTAGCTAATCCGAGCTTTGGGAATGAAAAGAAAATGTTTACCAGGATGACGTAGCATTTCTTAAAACAAAAGAATCAATACCTTGAATCCGTCTTCTTTTTGTTACACAGGCGGAACTTGTTTTATCATGCTTCACTTTACTGTGGTTCGCAGATACTGCATTTTGTATAAAGCGAAGGTCTGTGGCAACCCGACGTCCAACAAGCCTGCCGGTATCATTTTTCCAACATCATTTGCTTACTTTGTGTCTCTGTGTCACATTTTCGTAATTCTTGCAATATCCATTTTATTATTATTATATATGTTATAGTGATCTGTGGTCAGTGATCTTTGATGTCACTACTACAAGTCACTGAAGGCTCAGATGATGGTTAGCATTTTTTAGCAATAAATTATTTTTTAATTAAAGTACGTACATTGTTATTTTAGATATAACGCTATTGCACATTTAACAGACTACAGTATAGTGTAAACATAATTTTTATAGGTACTGGGAAACCAACAAGCTGGCGTGAATGCCTTTATTGTGATATTTGCTTTATTGCGGTGGTCTGAAATCCAAACTACAATATCTCTGAGGTGTGCCTCCATGAACTTGCAACTATTCAGAATAATGGAGAAAGAAAAGACCAATATAAAAGTGATTACCATTTCATGAAATGCTTTTAAAGATAGCAGATATTACTAAATATTGAGAGCAAGTAATTCATCATGATCTTTCCAAAGCTACTTAGAATCTGCTGGTGTTAAGTACGAAAATAAGCAGATACATTTCTCTCCAAGATTATCAATATTGTCAGTTTCCTCATCTTAATGGTTAAACATCATTAGTCAGATATTAAATCACTTGAGAAATTAATGAGCTTTATTCTCTCAACCATGAGTCAGAAAATTGCTTGGGGTAAATGGAAATCCAAACATCGCACATATTCGGTTTAGCTGAGTATCCTACCAGGGTGTAACCTTGTTGGCAATGGACTGCCATTTAGATATTTTGTTTTTATCTTTACTTGGAGAAAGGAAGGGGTTTTCAGCTTCCCGAGAATCAAACTGATCGCTTGGTTAAATTTCACTATAATTCTCATTTCCTCTATGTCCTGTCGTCCACATCATTCTCTCATTACTTCTTGTCCTATTTCCACATTTCCTAAAAATGAATGTAATAGAAATTCCTAGAAAAAGTCTTCTATTTAAAACAAGTCTGTATTTCTGAAGTGTCCTGTTTTAAACACAGAGTGTGTTATGCTGCCCACTATTCTTAGGAAGCATGGTCATCGAGGGAATGGCTGAGCTACCAGGTGACAGTAACCACGGGGTAAGCAATTCACTAAAAAGTTGGAGGCGGAGGCACTAGAGGTAAAAGCATGTCTCTTAAAACATTCACCTCTTAGACAACCTACGCTTACACAGTATCATCTTCCAGCCTCCAGGCCCTGCCCACTGACATCAGCATGGAATCAACTACGAAAAGAAATAATCCATGAGACCTTTGGAAAAAAGATATGTTTTCAAAAAAAAAGCCCTGGAAAGCATATCCAATTCCTAAGCAAAGGGGATCTCCCTGATAAAGGCGATTCTGCTCTAAACATCTTTCCTCTTCATCCCCCAACAAATTGGTTATTCTAATGAAAAATCCGGTCTACATTTCCAGTGGGTAGAGTTGTATCTGTTGAACACGCTTCCAGGACTCCCTGTCATTCACATATTACCACGAATTTACTCAACTGGATTGTTTTCCTTTTAACCTCTGGTTCAGATGGGTATCACAGGAATATATATATTTTTTTTTTTAACTCTGGGGAGGAAGGGTGGGAAGGGGAGGGGAGGTGGCTATGTTGGGAGCACAGAGGATTTCTCAGCACGTTGTATTTTCAGGGCTCTGGGTCAATATGAGAGCAACGTGGACCAGGGAAAGGGTCTAGGAAGGACCTCAAGGATGAGCCTCAGCTATTCCAGGGTTGCCTGGACGACCCGCTCTTCTTTCCCAGGCTGCATCGCCAGCTTCCTCCCACCCAGGTCCAAGCTTTGCCCACTACTCCAAAAGTACCGACATTATGAGCAGGTTTTAATGGATTATCCTTGAGATTTACATACAGGTGCAGAGAGGAAGAGCCTGCATGCTCTCACCAACAGCCCACAAACCCACGTTAGAATGTACACGGCCTCCTGCTCACTCAGTAACAGCCTCTGACTAAGCCGGCAGGCTTGTTAGCGGTCATCCTCTGAGAATAACGCGCTCAACTTCGATGCTCCCCGCTTGCCACACGTGCAGGACAGACCTGGGGGAACGGTGTCAAGAAAGGTCAGCTATGTTCCCTGGGCCGTCTCGTCTGAAGCCTGTAACCCCCCGGAGATCTGTCAATGCCTAGCAACGTCTCTATTTCAGCACCGTCCATGGAGACAGCAGAGGCAGAGGGGAAGGCTAGTGACGGCTGCTAACTGGAGCACGCAGCAAACGCAGGATGGGAGCTGGACACGTTCCCTTCGGGGCAAAGGGGTCTTCAACTGATGTCTGGAAGTTGGGGTACGCACAAAGGACCAGAGGCTCTTCATGAGCAATTTCATTTCTATCACTTCCACCTCATCTGTACATCCCAGCTGAGGGAGGGGAGGGTGGAGAGAGGAGTTACCCTCCCCTCCCCCATTTATTTATTTTATTATCAAACAACCCTAAGCCAGAGTTAGTATCAGACAGACTTCAGATTCACAGGTGCTTCACAGAATACCAGAACTGGGAAGCCTAACAGAAAAGAACGATGGCGGAGGCAGGAAGCAAACAGTAGCTTTGTGGTTGACGCTGTGCAGTTTGTTTGTTTTTTTTAACAAAGCACCATGAAACCCATGCTTAATGCCCACAGCACACCTTAACGCAGGCAACTATTACAGATGGCAGAGGTGGAAACCTCACAAGTCAAACCCAGCGCCAACTCTTCCTAGCTACAAGCAGGCTCGGGGGGACAGGATGTGCTGATTTTGTTTTCTGAGCTCATGTCACTGGTGGAGGACACAGTACCTGCTTCTGTGCAGCCGTGGCCCTGCCAGTCGGCTCTGTGTCTCTGGCTCTCTCACCTCGCTCTGAAGGCTGGCAATTTCAGAAGAGGGCTAAGATAACGCGTGGAGCTCGGCCATTATCCCGAGGGGAAAGCTGACACCTGTCCCCGCGATGGGCTCAGCAACAAGTTACTCTGGCCTCAGCTGAGCCCCTCCGTCAGCTGTCCGAGGTGGGTTCCCTTTCCGGTAATAACATGCAGGAAGCATCTCAGCCCGTCAGTCAGGCTGCAGGAGCCCTAACTTGCCGCATGCTTCGCTGGCTCTAGTTAGGAGCCCTCGCCCACCTCCTTGATTAGAAGCCTGAACGGGCGCTCTGGTGCCGTTCTAACAAGGATCAGACGGCAGGATTAAGCACTGTGACAAAGAGGATCTAATAAGCTAGAAAGCGGAGCATCCGCGGACACGCTGG